TCAACTCATTCCATTTCAACTGCATTTCATTCACAGCGGCCGTGATTTGATTTCAAATTAATGAAGTACCCGCGACAACATACACAATAAATGGGCACAGAGTAAAAAAAAACATACACACACAACCAGTACCAGTCATAAATAATATTCATTAAAATGTTTGACAGGTTTTTGGTCATAGAGGAACACAAAAACATCCGAAAAAGTCATCAAAATGATCATCATCACACCACATACGGCTTCTGAATGGATTTCGGTCGGTTATGTCACAGAGGGAAAATATGATTATGTGCACCGCTTTATTGATGAGTGACATCTGTCAGCATACACATACACATCACCATTTACCATATCACTTTTTCCTCTGTATTTGCCGTTTTGCCTCTTGCTCACTCGTTCGTTCACCACGTTCTTGATGCCGCTGCTCGTTCTAACAAGTGAAAACCTGTCCGAATAAATTTAAATTGGCAGTTGCTATTTCGGCTGATACTTTTTTTGTATGGCCAATGACATTTGCCATTTCGCATACATCGCATTTTTCAGTGACACTCTCATTCGCCAGCCTCATTGTCGACGTCGTTGTGTCGCTTTCATTCATAGCAAACATGTTCGTGTGAATCAGTGCCTCCGATTGAATTAGTGACTTTTGGACGGTGAATTACATCATTGCCAAATTGATTTATTAGCGATTTTCCAGAAATTAAAATATCATTTTGGAGGAAACGCTTTTTTGTTCACGAAGAGTGAATGAGAGCGAACGTTACTTTGTGTTGTAGGCGCACATTTTCAAATCAACGTGACAATTGAAATATGTCGTTTCGCTGTATGTTTGTGTGTTACTTTTCATTTCGCCATGCGATAAGTCTCAATGGATTCTTGGTCTCAAACAAATTATCGTGCGGTTGTGATGCGCATGAGATGGAGAAAGGGAGACGGAACGCGCGAGACAGAGACATATGCAGATTGCAAGAGAGAACGAGATTCAGAGACACAGCGAATGAAAGAAGAAATGAGCCATCGTAAATGAACTGGCTTGTTGACGCAATTCACCAGTTGTTAATTAACGAAATAAATTTCTCAATAACACAAACATTAATTTTCCGTACGCGCGAATGCTCGGTGCTTCTTCTTTTGCCGAGATAGAGAGAGAGAGAGAGAGAGAGAGAGAGAGTGTATAATTTTACAATGACATTTTACAATGTGGTTCCGCGTGCCATTTGTTTGCGCATTGTCATTCAAAATCCATGGCTGAAACGGTTTGCTCTTCATGTGATTAATCTAAATTTAGAGTTTTGGGGCCAACCAAAAGGAAACATGTTGTTGTAGCAGCAGCAGCAGCACTTCACTGAGAAACTGTAGAAAGCAACAATGAAAATCATAATAATAGGGACAAAAGGAATAATTGCGCAAGAATATGACTTAATTAATTTGCTTTGGTTGAAATATTCGTAGGCTGCCATCAATTTGGTTCTTTATGCTTGTGCTCGTCCCAATAAAATGGTTGCGCGCCTTTTATTGAAACGAACGCTCACGCTGCACTGCAATGAGATTGTTCATTTTGCAAAACTCGTTAAAATGACACACGCACGCCAGAGCCAATCGTTTCAGAATAAATAGCTGTACAAATTTATATTTCATTCTCGCTGAAGCGAACGAATGCCAAGCCAACAACATCCATCTCTCGACTCATCGCTTCGCGAGCGCGCTCGTTCATGTAGTCAGTCAGCATCAGCACTTGGACTTGATAAATTACAATTTATACAAAGCACCCGCCCCGCCACATTGAACACATAACGAATATAAATAAATTAATTGTGCAGTTACAACAAACGGTAGAAATGTATTTTGCACGATTTTTCGGCGAACAAACGAATGAATACACACAAGAGACAAATAGACAGAGTGTACCGAAACGAAAGAGCGATACCCACTCGAGAAACGTGCAGAAGGCAGCCAGAAGAGAAATGGCCATTTTAAAAAATCGATGCGATTTTAAGCGAATGCCATATTTTAATAGCAGCCACTCAATGACTATTCCACCTGAAGATAAACGATGGATGATATTTTACTGCTAATTGCACCCAATCGACGAGAATAAATTGCACGATGCGAATGGAATGTAGGAGAGAAAGCACTAGAACAGATACGGAAAATAAGACTATCAATTGCCATGGTGATACAGAGGCGGATTCGCTATTTTTTTGCAATAGAAAATAGACACAATACGAAACATAGAGTATTCGAAGAATGTTTATTCAATTCCAGTTTTACTTCAGTTTTGTATGTGTACAGATTTTACCTTTTTTACGTCATCGGATTTCAGCTTAGCGCTTTTTAATTGGGAAAATATGCAAACGAATATTTTTATAGAGATTATTCCATTCATTGTGGGATTTTATGTTGTGGAAATAAACTTGATTGGACAAACATTCAATGTCATATTTTTGGGCCAAAAACATGTCATCGATGATACCATCAACGGAAGATAATGGAAATCAATCAAAAATGAAGAAAAAAAGTACTTTTTTAAGGAATTTTTTTTAACGCATCGATAATTTAGTTTTCTTTTTCTATTCTGTGCACAGAAAAACTGAATAAATAAACACTCTCGATTCAAATGTTACAAACTCTATCGAATTAGAGTGAACAATGATTTAATGGGCGAAAACGAGTCCATACGGAATCCGTACTAGCGTTTTGGATGCTTGTTTTCCTTCCTCGAAAGTGGTAGAACAAATGGAGCAAATATTTTTGAAAAAAAAAAAAACCCAATTGTTCATGGGCTTAATTCGAAATTACTTTTGTTTCTTCCGAAAAATCTACAACAGCGAGTAAAAAATATATTCCAGTGAAAAAGTGATGAAAGAAAGAGCTCTAGACTTTCACATTACAATTAAAAATTTTATATCGCACCGATTATTCCGAATTCTTTTGTACAAGGAGACAGAACTAAATTCCCTCGCCTCGAATGTTCTTTTGCACATCGTATCGAATTTGTACGACTAATAATTTCATTGGATGAAACTACTCTTTATATAGAAGTCGATATTATTGCATTGTAATGATCATACGACAAACACAGGAAGTGGTGCACACCGCAATGCTTTGTTATTATTGGAACATAGCCTGATTTAACCATTCTATTGATAACAACTCTAGGGGCTTCTATGTCGGTTTGCCATTCGAATTTTTATTCACAAATTCGCGCTCATTGCCATGCATTCACAACGCTGCCATATGATTTCTATGTAAACATTCGCACTCGCATTCGTATAGAATACGTATTTCGCTGTTCTCGAACGTTCTAACGAATGCGAGTGCGAATGATTACATAGAAATCATACGGCAGCGTTGCGAATTCTTGCACAAACACGAATGAACGAATGAATTATGTAGTCACATGTTCGCTGTCATAGCCGCATTTGTCGCATTCGCGAACATTCGAATTTTTGTTCTGAAATGCCAATGCATTCGCAGCATTCGCGAGGGATAAATCCCCTTAGTAACAACTGCCTAATTGGCAAACCGCGATTTGTCCGAGTTCTGCAGCTAAACCACAAAGTGATTCGACGTTTCTTATGAATGTGATCGATTGGATTGTGAGAATGTGGTTTAGAAAATAGATTTCGCATGCTCTTATCAAAGTCGAGAATTCCGTGACCATTTAAATGTAACTCAAGTCTTTGCGCAAATTTGTCCCTCCCATTCTATGTTTTTGAAATTTATTCGATTTTGGGCACACGTTCGAAGTCATGATGTTGTCATTTTGTCAAAGTCATGAGGCCAAGAACGTGTCGCATCGTTATCGACAAAAATTAAAAGCAAAAACCGATTTTACATCGTTTTTCGAAATCGAAGCGGCTTTGATATTTAAGCAAATGAATGAAGAATGATTTCAAAAGAAAAAGAAACAATTCAAATGAAAACAAAATTTATGAATGAAGCATTGATGAATTAGCATAAACTGCTGAAGTTGTTCCAACAGCATAAAATTTTATGCGGTTTTTAAAACATGCGACGAAATCAAAATGATGAATAGAAAGTGTCACTATTTAATACATACCGCCGAAAAAAATATGGAAATGATCGCATTTTTGAGTGTCTGTCGAAAAATGTGCCCTTTTATTATGTTCATCTTTAAGCTCAAACGCACGATGCAAATTGATAAATTCAAAACAAAAAAATTATGTCACACAAACAATTTTGGCAAACAATTGGTTATCTGGGAATGACGACCTTTTGCCAGCCGTTTGCATACGTATATGGAAGAAGTGCGTTTGCCCTATGAAGCATAAAAATGTATGAGCCAATTCAAGAGGTTATAAAACTTCGATGTAACAAATGTTCCAATCAACTCATAATCAACAACATGTGTTACGCTGATGTCGAAACATGCGGCGATCACGAATGTGCGTTACCGATTTCAGCCGCTTATTTTTTTTTTAGTATCGGAATAGAAATGACCTAAGCCCAATGCGATGTATCAAAATGGAAAAAAATGAATTTTTAATCAATCATTATCATTATGTACGAAACTTGTTTCGGAACACTTTTGATTGAAAGATACGGTTATTGGTCCATGGTCAGGTTTTTTCGCGCTTTTTTTGAACGTTGATTATTCAACCGAATTTCCGATCGGTGTTGCTGTGGCCCCCTTCATTTTCTCTTTCACACACCCGCATTCCAGTGGTAAGCGGCTAACCCAAAAACAGGAGATTGATCGAACATATTTGATTTCTATTGAGTTTTTATGTAAGATTCGATTTTTTTTCTCGATTGCTCCGATATTTTTGGAACGGTATAAAAGATCGACGGCGTGGTGGCTAAGTCATCAGTTTATTGTCGTTTGTGCAAGGGACTACATCAAAAATGAAGGTTCGTGAGATTTGGTGTTTCGTTTTGTGTTGTTTTGTTTTGATGAATTGAACTTAATTGAGTGATCAATATCAAGAAGTGAACGATTGGAATGTGTACAATATTAATACGATTGTTTTCTGTGTGATCCAATTAGGTATTTATCTGTGCTCTTGCTTTGGTAAGCTACGCTTCGGCTGGCTCTCATGGAGGCAGCGGTGGATATAACTACCCAGCCCCTGCACCTCAACCAGTTTATTCTGCCCCAGAACCGGTAGCTCTTCCACAATCAAACTACTTGCCACCGGCTCAATCCTACTCAGGTAAATTAACTCGGAGTATTCACAAGTGATCAATATAAACATTTTGATATCCAATAGAATGTGACTTTTGATTGATTAATTGGCAATTGAAATCGTGGTTAATTAAGCTAGAACGAAAAAATATACACATGAAGTCAGAATTGGTGAACTGTGAATAGTATGCTGTGAAACTACAAATAGATTATTCCAAATATATTGGTAAATTCAACACGAATGACACAACGCAAGTCACAAGTCCCTTACGTGGTTCTAGTAAACTAAATTTCTCACTTATACTGAAATTACCAATACATTTGAAAAAATCTATTAGTAGTTTGACGTTTCATCAATAGAACTTGTGTGCCTAAGGGTGCAGTCACACTAAGAAACATGGATTGGAAACATGTTTCCAGTTCCCCATAAGATCCTGTGTTATTTTGTTTCCACTAAAATGTTGCCTGTAAACAAAATTACATTGGACCTTATGGGATGTTTCCAATCCATGTTTCCCAGTGTCATTTGTATGTGTATATAATATATATTGATCGACTATGTTCTATTAAGGACTGTAATAAACTGAAGAAAAGAAGTGTTATTAAATGAGATAATCTTTTTAGCTCCTGCTCCAGTTCACCATGCTCCACAACCCGCTCCAGTTTACCATGCTCCAGCACCTGCTCCAGTTTACTCTGCCCCTGCGCCCGCTCCAGTTTACCATGCTCCAGAACCCGCTCCAGTTTATCATGCTCCAGCACCTGCTCCAGTTTACTCTGCCCCAGCGCCCGCTCCAGTTTACTCTGCCCCAGCGCCCGCTCCAGTTTACTCAGGTAAATATCAACTTTGAGTGTTTACAAGTGAATAATATTGAGAATTAAAAAATTTGACGATGTTCAACTAAAATGAAAGTGAATGCTATCAATTGAAAAAGAAGAAATGGAATCGAAACAAAAATGATGTGTTACTAATTGCGAAAAACTTTTAGTACCTGCCACAAGCTATGGTGTCCCAAGCTCTCCAGTTCCAGTTCCATCATTTGAAACCAAAGTTGTCAAGATCATCCAAGAGCAAGCCGCTCCACAACTACAATACGCAGGTACACTACCGAATACTCTTGCTCGATGGACACCATGGCTTACACATTCGCTTGATTTTCTCCGCTTAGCGATATAGCAAATTAAATGAAATTGTCGTTGCATTGGATAAGCAGTTTATGTTGTAATCGAAAGCGAATTGATTTGACGTTCATTTTTTAATCTCTTTTTAGCACCAGCTCAAAGCTACGCACCAGCGCAAAGCTACGCACCAGCTCAAAGCTACGCACCAGCTCAAAGCTACTCGGCTCCAGCACCAACCCAGATCGTCAAAATCATTCATGAGGTACATTTACAAATCATACATGAGTTTACTCTTACTTAAAATGACTCAATTGTTTGCAATCAACGAACAATTCTCAAAGCTCATTTTGAAATGATTTTCTTGCCTTCATTTGCATAATTTTGTTTATATTGACTACTCAATACTCATTCCGATTTCTATTGATAAAATCGATTTTGTTGATATAAAAGGTGTGAATGCATTTCGAGTGAAATGGTTTTAAATTAGCTATTTATAGTAATCAAATATAGACCAAGCTTTCACTCGCGAATTTCAATGATCTGCGAATTTATGTCCATAAATCATTCTCCTTTCGAACTCATCACCATATTAAACTAGATTCATATATGAATTTATTAGTTTTGTAATGTGATGATGATAATGAGAAAGAGTTGTACATAGGAGACAGAAAGTTAATAATTTATTCATTTCATTAGGTTGCACAAGCCCCACAATATGCTGCACCAGCACCAGTCTACTCAGCTCCAGCACCAGTCTACTCAGCTCCAGCTCCTCAATATGCCTCAGCCTACGCTGCTCCAACCTCAGTGAAAATCGTTAAGGTCATTCAAGAACAAGCACAATCACATGGTGGATTCAGCGGTGGATACGCACCAGCACCAGCAGGACCAGAACTTGGACCAGTCCAAATCATCAAGGTATGCATAATATAATATATAGTATATATAAATATAAAATCAATTACTTCGAATTCAAAGATGCAAAATTGTACCGAAGAAAAAACATATCGGATTTTCCATACAAAAAATTTTCAATGCTTGAGATTCAACGTTTTCAAGTGTCTTTCTTATTATTATCTATAAATAACCTACTGTAATGATTCAATAGAGAAGATTGTTCTATAAAACCATTTTTAATTATGTTATTTTAGGTCATTTCACAAGGATCAGGACACGGTCACGGTCACGGACACGGACACGGACACGGTCACGGACACGGACACGGCTCATACGGTCCATCAGCTCAACCAGAACAAATCATCAAGGTGAATATTCTTTCCGGATGTGTTTATACTAAATTGAACTTTCAATCGAATGTGTTTTAATTGTGATTTTTTCCGGTATTTTAGCTCATCCAAGAACCAGCTCATAACTACGGCCACGGCAACTTGGCTTCAGCTCCAGCCCCAGCACAAGTTATCAAGGTTATCAAGGAAACCGCCTCAGCTCCATCAGGCGGTTGGGCTGCACCATCAGGCGGATGGTAAACACTTACCTTCGATTAACTTCCAAGATATTAAAGCGATTCGTGTATGAATTGACTTTTAATCGTTGTTGATCTTTTGTTGTAAAAGTACAAGATATTCATTACATTTTGATTCGTTATTGCATCGAAATTGTAAGAATGTAAATAAATTTTTTTAAAAAATCATTTGCAAAAATAAAACTCAAAGGTCGTTGTACTTCTTTTTCAATTGAACGAATCAGATGATTCTTTCGAATTCATCAGTCATTATCGCATATTTTCACTCGCTCTCCTTGGTTACAAATATCCTTGGTTTTGCCAAATAAGAAAAGAAAAGTGTTCCGTTCGAATTATGAACGATTTAGTATTTCCATCCATTCAGTCTAATGGTCGAAGGAAAAAGGGAGCATGGCCACCACCAATAAGTGAAGATTTATATTTATGGTAGATTATTCGTGAGTTCTTCGTTCCATGCGATGGTTATCACTATCTGTGTAGCAGACCAAAGTGGATAAAAACGACCATACATAGTTTGGGTGCCTTTTCGCTTGTGCTTGCACACAATATACGTGTGTGCGGTTAGAAATGAGCATGAAAAGACATTTACCAATAGCCAGAAATAAAGGCAGAGAGAGAGAGAGAGAGAGAGAGAGAGAGAGAGAGAGAGAGAGAGAGAGAGTGTGTGTGTTAACACAGTTAACTGCCCAATATTTCTTTATTATACGAGCAAAAATAAATATGCCAAAATGATAAAGCGCAATTGTAGTTTATGTGTTCGTTTTTATAGCCATTTGTACGCTGCTCCTTTTTTGTTATCTCATCTCGTATTGTTTCGTTTGAAATCTTCTATTGCACGCTCCATATGTCACATTGTTTATGAGATTTTTCCCCAGTTTTTGTTTTGTTTGTTTCTAGGTTTGTTTGTTTGTTGTTTTTTTTTCCTTTTCGGTTATCGATAAAAAATCGCACTGCAGCAATCGATCGCATAATCGCTATTTTCCTCCTGTTCAGCTAGTATTGTGACGAGCTGATTTGTTTCACTGTCCAATTGTCTCTTGTGTGATGCACACAATCATCCAATCCATATATAAATCCGAATTGCGTATTTTATTTATCAAAGTGAGGTCCATTCATTTCACTTTGATTCGCACTCTCTTTCCCTCTTTTGGCTCTTCGATTCGCAGTGCACACGACACAGTCGACGACGACCATTCAGCAAAACCAGAAATTCGTGCAGATAAAAAAAAACAGCGAACAAATCAACTGAAAATGGTAAAAATGCACCCGTGGGACCAAAATGATCTATTCTCGGCCATTAACTCTTAAGAACTGCGCGGACAGATGCTAATATCTTTTACGACTAGAATTAATGGTCCAATTTTTCCCTTTTTACTATTTTTTTCCGTTGCGCTCTTCATTTTTTTGCTCTCTCATTTTTCGCATCAATTCGAGTACATTCGTCTTCTTGGTTGTGTCTGTGTGTTTGTTTTTTTTTTGTCTTCTTTCGTGCCATTTTAATATGTTGTGTGCTCCTCTCTTTTGTTCACTCTCTGAATCCATTTTATCATTTGTTGCAATACTCTTTCTCACTCACTCTCTTTTCGATTCTTGGGCGAGTAATAAATGTTGCCAGATTAATCTTGAAGAAGTTGAAAGAAGCAAAAATACATTTGAACCGAATGATTTGTTGCACTCAACGGTTGAATGAAGTGGAATAGAAAAGCGATATAGACTCGTGCAAAGCGGCAAAAAAGTCAATAATTTTATTACTCTGGCACGAGAAGACAAAGTGCAAAGCAGCATAAGTAAAAGAGCGACGAAAAATAAATGTGTGTCGAAAATAGATGATTCGAAGGAAAGTTCGAAATCAAATATAAGAAACCAAGTGCATGCAATAAAAATGACCGAGATAGGGGAAATATTCCGAGAGAAAAATAGCATTTCACCATAAAAAAACAACAGTAGAAAAAAGTCGCAATTAAAATCGAATGTGAGTATGTCCCCGGCTATTGATGCGTCAACAATGTGATGAGTGTTCCGTGTGTTTGTGTGTGAGTAGTTCATTAGCATATAAATCAAGAGATGACAAACGGCAGCTGATGTCCGCAAAATGATTAAGTGATATTAATTCGGCTGTCAAAAGACGATTCTCTTTAAATTGTATTGTTTGGGGCGATCACACATTGTGTACGCTGTTCTTTGTTTCGCTATGTCAATTTATATATATTTCGAAAGGAATATCGCATAATTTATCATTTGTTCTTTCGTTGTTGTCATCTTTTCTCTTCTTTTTTTTTGCGACACTCACATCAAAAGGAACAGTTTGGCCTGGGAACGAAGAGGTAAAACGAAAAATTATTTAAAATTTCGCTGTCTAGCCTAATGACAACCATTTCCTCTTTCTTCAATTATAAGCGCACATTAATCATTTGCATATATTCGTTCATTTTCGGGCTAAAATTCTTTCTCTCTTTCTGTTTCTCTCTCGCTTCACCTTTGCAGCATTACAGTCAATACTCGGTTCAGTTGGGTTTGGTTTGTTTCGCTCGAAACGTGTGCCGTTGTTGTGTTTTTTTTTTCTTATAAAGAAGTCGGCGAGTAGATCGCATTACGGTTGCTTAATATAAATTACATGCCATTCATCAAAATGAGAAACACTGAAAGCACACACACACACACACTCACAAAATATGACTGACTATGAATTATTGAACAGTTTCGACGCAAACATTGAACCTCGCCTGAAACTCAATTGAAATTTCGTGATCGCTTTATTCTTTGTGTGTATCTCTCCGTCTGACTCGTTCATTCAAAGTTCAGTTTGGGTTGAGGCGCTGCCTGTGTGTGCTTGTGTGAAATTCAATTCAACTTGATGAGGAGCTATAGTAAGACGCCCGGCAAAGCAACACAAAGCGTGCAATAATATTCAGTCAGTCATTCAGTCAAATTACTTTGTTTAGTTAATTTATTTAACATTTTATGTGGATAAATTTGTAATTGTCAGAGCTTGACATGTACTCAATGCATGAGCACTACACTTCGTTTCGTTTTTGTTTCGTCTCTTCATTTTTTTCCACTGTTGATTTAATTCCATCGTTACCGCGTGTAGCTAATGTTTTTGATGCAGGCAATATTTATGTAAATTAATGAACAAAACGAAAATGAGCAACGAAAGAGCCAACGAAAAATGATGATGATGATGAAGACGGAGTGGGTTTGAATGAAAAACAAGACCGCAGAGCTTCGCTTCGCTCCGCTCTGCGTTCTTGAGTTTTTAGTTACTTAATCTATTTTGTTGTTTCACAACAAACTATTTTTTGGCGCACTACATGAAATGTATTTCATCAAAGTAACTTTGAAGTAATATATTTATTTGCAAAATGAATTACAAGATCTTGGTTTTATTTCTTTTTTGAAATATACTGCTATTGCTTTAAATTAAATAAATAATATGAGCATAGAATCTAAAATCACTTTAATTCTGTTCAAGACTCAGAAAATATTATACGAAAAATTAATTTAATTTTTAAACAACATTTGATAATAAAAATTTGATTGGCGCTTTAAGATATTATGCACCTATTTGTCGTTACTGCCACTGTTTTAAATTAAATAAAAAATATGAGCATAAAATTCAAATTCACCATAATTTGTTTCAACACTCAAAAAGTATCTAGAGAAAAAAAAGAGCAGATTAGTAGCTCTACATTTCATGTAGTACTAAAAAAGAAGTGCAGAATAAAAAGAGTGTACTAACAGGCGTTGAATATTGTAAGTATGTCATAAACACGTGTTGGCCCGTAAGCAAAGCCGATGCCCGATGCCATGGAACGACACATAGCGTTGCTGCTGCGAACGTTATTACTACAGGTGGCAATAGCGTATTATTAATTAATCGCTTCGTTTCGTTTCGGCTGTTTAGTGGATGTGTGTGTGTGCGCTATTGTGTCGTGTCGATGTTTGTTTACATTTTGATGGATTGTCTCCTTTACCGCCAGCTTAAACGCCACTTACACAGTTCGGACAGCGCGATGGCAAGACAGACAACAACGACGAAGAGAAGAGAAGAAAAAACAACGACGACGATGAATGAACCAGCCATAACATGACTATTTTCACCTTTCAAAGTGTAGCGCAACGGCAATGAAGTTTCAAATTGTTTGAAGTGTTGTCACTTTTGTGAGTGTGTGGAAATGGATTGGCGGTAAGTTTATGCTGCTTCGTTCTCATGTCTGTCGGAAATTCAATGATCTTATTCATCCAATTAACCCAGATAAGAAGATGACAAGTAATTGGCTGGTAAAGGTGTTTGGCTTCGGCACATTCACTCACTCTGGCTTCGCTCAGCAGAGAGCAACGCGAGTACACGGCAATAATTTTAAACAATTTAACAAGGTTAAAAGGTGCTAATTCAAAATCAATCAATGTCTTACCATAACATTTTCTCTTTCTCTCTAACACGTTCCACCTCTTAGTCGTCGTGTGTTTTTCTGCGATAGGGAAGACATTTTGACATCTCGGTAAACATGCCGGTAGCTGAAACTTAATTTAAGAAAAAAAAGAAGAGCGAAGACGACGAACGAATGGCATTTTTCATTCCATACTGATTATCAAAATACTTTCTTGACATCATAATGACAAATCCATGTGCTTGAGTCTCTCTCTCTCTCTCTCTCTCTCTCTCTCTCGCTCGCTCGAAGGAAAAAACAAACCATCTCACAAAGTATTTAAATGGCAAAACAGTGAGCAGTGAATGCGAAGCACAGCAAACAAACACACGCTTTTCACGTTAATGATATCTCTTTGTGCGCGCTCTTTGCTCTGTGCCATTGTATGTCACTCGTGTCTCTTATCGTAAGCAATTAATGCTTAGCTACATTTAAATGCACATTTATACAGCAGCTGAATGTTGTCATTTGAAATGAAAAACTGCAAAATACTGTGAAAATTGAACTCACATCTCATTCTGGTTGCCGTTTGTGTGGTGTCGTCGCTGCCTTTTTTCAACTTCAGAGTTGTCGTGTGTGCGCACTTTTTTTTTTCTTCTCTCTTGTTGTTCCCGATTCACGTCGTAAATAAATAATGTGCTTGCGCTTTGTGGCAAATACACCTCAAACACA